TGCGTCTGTGTTTTCAGAGAGAACAACCTGGAGGAGTGCGGTGTGGAGCTCTATTTTGCACAGGACATGGAGATCCTCGGGAAGGTTTCCACTCACCAGCTGAAGGACGACGGGGAGAACGAGCTGGTCACCGAGGAGAACAAGGAGGAGTACATCAGGTCTAAGGCAGAAATGGGGACAGTTGGGCTGATGAAGACGGATGAGCGTAGGAAACAAGGTCTGTGGTGGAGAGCAAACCATAAAAAGCAGCCTCTTGTTCACGCAGCCTGCTGACAGACTGGAGGTTCACCCGCGGGTGGAGGAGCAAACCAAAGCCTTCCTGGACGGCTTCAACGAGGTGGGTGCCTCTGGAGTGTTCGCTACTTTGACGAGAAGGAGCTGGAGGTGAGGAAGACTTGTATTTATTGGTGTTTAGGCTTAAAATGTCATGAATCCAGCTGTTAGCAGCTCGTTTTACTTGTGTGTGTCTCCCAGCAAAAATCACACCACGTGAAAACGATGCTTCGTGTTTTGCCTGATCGCACCATAATGCCACTCATTTGCGCCCCAGGGTTCCACTGAGGATTTAAAGTCACACGGATATTTTGTGAATTCAGTGAAAGCCTGAGGCAGTTTAATCTCACACCATGTACTCAAATAAAGTTATTTGAGTGTAAATGTCTCAACCTTTTACACCATTAGCTTTTCTTTGAGGGATGGACCTCCCTGCACCCTTATTGAGCCGTTTTGACACCTCTTTAGAGATCAGTAAAGACGTGGTGTGACGACCATCAGAATAGTTTCCTGGGTTTTCCCCAATCATAGCTTTAGTGAGCTGTATAGGCACAGACCCTCGCTGACCTCATATGCAAACATTTTGTTCTGGAAGCAGACCTAAAACAACAGAACTCAGAAAAGAGGAACAGAAGGGAAAGAGTTCATGAGCCAGAGAAAAACCCCCAAAACAAGCTGGTGGGGGTAAGCTTGGACTTTTTTTCTTTCTTTTTTTTTTGAAAAGTCTGAAATCTCATCCGACTTGAGCTGCAGGAGCCCCGTTTATCAGGAGGAAATGTGAGAATTTGGGCTGTAATCAGTAAAGTTTTATAAAGGACGTCAGGGTTCTGTACCACCACATGCAAAAATGTCTCTGAGCACACAGAGTGAAGTCACATGTGAGTAGTTTAAACTCCAAATTTTAAAGTAACCCCCCCGTCTTTGTCCTTTTTGCAGCTGATGCTTTGTGGGATGCAGGAGATCGATTTGGCCGACTGGCAGAAGAACACCATCTACAGACATTACACCAAGAACAGCAAGCAGATCCACTGGTTCTGGCAGGTATGGGCCTGTAAACACACACACCTACCACGCTGATGCTCCTAGGAAAGCGCTGACCTGAGCGTTTTTCTGCAGGTGGTGAAAGAGATGGACAATGAGAAGAGAATCCGTCTGCTTCAGTTTGTAACGGGAACCTGTCGGCTGCCCGTCGGAGGGTTTCCGAGCTCATAGGTACTGACTGCGTTTACAGGGACAGGAGTGTCCTGGTTATGGATTCTCCTGGTTTTAATACTGTTGTAAATAGATCTCTGCCTTTGCATGGAGGGACCTGTGATGTTTACAGACACTAACAGGAAATTCTCAAGCAATTGTAAGGAAATTGAGCAGACATTTAGCTCCAAACCAAAGTGCTGAAACAAAAGCTTTTCCATGCTGCTCTGGGAGCTGGAAATCCCAGAGCATTTTCATAAGATATAATAAAATTACTCACTTTCTTAATCATCTTCAGTTTGAGTTTCTGCTATGCGAGTCGGCAGCATTCAGCTTCCTGTTCAGGGTTTGAGTTTTGTTTGTGTGTGTGTGTGTCCTGCAGGAAGTAATGGTCCCCAGAAGTTCTGCATAGACAAAGTGGGGAAGGAGACTTGGCTTCCAAGAAGCCACACATGGTAAGATGCTGCCTCATGTTCTGCTTCTCCGAATCATCCATTTATTCATCGTCTCCCGCTGATCTTATTTAGGGTCGAGGGGGCGGAGCCTGTTCAAGCTGTTATAGGGTAAAAAGCAAGGTGTTTATTGAAGCGCTCCTCTGAAAAACTTAAAAATAGCCTAAGACTAGCAAGGTTACAAACGAGAAGGACAGCTTTACAAACCTCACAGCGGATCACCTGCCTCCATCACCCTATCCCAACATCCTCCTCTGTCACATCAGTCCCTGCATGTCCTCTTTCCCTCCCACCTGGCAGCTCCCTCTTCCACATCCTGTCTTCAGTATATCCACTATCCATCCTCTGCACTCGTCTCTCTAACTTTGTCTCAGCCTGAGCTTTTCCTCTGATGTACTCGTTTCTAATCCCGCCCACTTAGCTCACTCCCAATGAAATTCTGAACATATTCAGCTCGGCCTCCTGTTATTTTGTCATCATAGCAGCTCTCGCAACAATCTTATGAACCTATCCTTCTGTCATAAATCACCCCTGACACCCATCTCCACCCTGCCTGCACTTTCTTCTTCACCTCTCTCTACTTAAATCACTTTCCTTAGATTACAGTCTTTTCACAGTACAGAGAGCTGCCGCTCTGAGGCTAAAATGAATGTACAAAAAGACATCTGATAGACAGATCAGCAGATTTAACTAAACGTCTTAAAGTGGACTCATTTCACTCAACTTCCAGCTCCAGGTTTTTATTCTGGGACTCTACTAGAGCAGCTTTGCATAATTTAGAATCCTTCTTCATGTTGTAGATGGTCTCTGTGCAGTCCCTCAGGTCATCGTCTGTCTGAAACGAGCAGCTATTCCTGATAAATTCACTTTTTTAAAGTCACATAGTATTCAGAACCTCCCTGACAAGAGTCACATTTTTTATGCATGTTTTACCATCTCAGGACCGCCCCTCTGTCACCTTCACCTCCTGGATTAGTATCAGGAGAAGACGCTTGTATCTTAGCTGTAACGCTTCTGCTACATTTCGAAGGGAATTCTCGTTTTAAAGGAGAAAGAAAAAGACAGTTGAAATTTAAGGACGTGGATTCGGACAGGATTTCAGCTACAAAAGTAATTTCAGCTAAAAATACACATGATCTAAAATGAATTAAAGCCACTGAGCAGGGCAGGTAGGATTTAAAACGGTTACTACAGGGGGAAAAAATAAAAATCAGGATTTCACTTCCTCTGTTTGAGCTGTGAGCAGCCTGGGAGCGTTTAAAAAAAATAGATAAATGTCACCCTGAAGTTCCATCTGTAAATCCACGCTGAGGTGTAACTCTGTCTCCTCCTCCTCAGCTTCAATCGTCTGGATCTGCCTCCCTACCGAAGCCTGGAACAGCTCCGAGAGAAGCTCCTGTTCGCCATCGAGGAGACGGAGGGATTTGGACAGGAGTGAGACGAGGAGGCAGAGACGGACGACACTTAAATCGACGAATAGTTTTTTGTTATTGGTCTTATTTTGCGTTTGTTTGTTCATCACAGGGCTGAGGAGTCACCTGTCAGCTAAACAAGCCCTCCCTGGGCGAGGATCATGTTAGTGAGCTAGTGAGCTGAATCATGGGATCAGGCTTGAGGCACAGGAACACAGAAGAGTGAATGCTTACGTGTGTGTGTGTGTGGGTGTGTGTGTGGTTGCTCATGTTAATGCCATTGTGTATTTGCATATAAATGGTGTGTATGTGTGTGGATTAAACAGGATGACCACTCCCCCCCTCCTTACTCACTGCTTAGAACCGCACCAAAACCAGACGACATGATAGTTTTAATGTCAGCAGCGACTCACAGCGACAGCACAGCTACCCGCAAATGCAGTACAACATATCTACCAGAGAGACGTACATTTTAAGCATATTAAAGCAGCGAGACGGCAGCGTGTGAGAGGAAGCTGTTATCGTGAACTAGTGCGCCTCTGTTACAGAGGTCAGAGAGATGAGATGCGATTTTATTTTTTCTGTTGATTGTGAAATTCAGTCGATTTCTCCTGTATATAACTCAAATAAATGAGATTTCAGTCATAAGATGTTTGGGTGAGGCTTTCTTTTTAAAATGCTTAATCCAGTGTGAGTGACGTAGGTTCAGCATTAATTGGTTTACTGTGCCGTGCAAACAATTCGAGCCACCCTTTGTTTCTTTATTATCAGACTTTCTTTTTAAAGTGCTCTTGAGCAGTCGTTCTGCAGGCTTTCTGAAGGTTTTTCACAGCTTTTCTTTGGACACTGGTGGCTTTTTCACTTGAACCTGATCATTTCTTTTGTTTGTTAAGCTACTTGACACCAAACTCTGAGTCATTCAAGAATAAAAAGGCACCAAACTCAACCAGTACCAGACAACTTGGCAAAGAAACATTTTAAATGGTATCTTTAGGCACTTTGGTACTAGGAGCATTTCGCAAAGACACATAATTTGTTCCCATTTCTTTTGTTGAATTTATGAAAAATATCAACGATAACACAGTTTGACAAACACAAGCAAACACTATCAGTCATGGAGTGGCCTCTCCAGAGCTCGGATCTCAATATTATTGAAGCAGTGTGAGATCATTCTGATAGAGGACGGAACAAAAAGGCAGCCGGCTTTCAAACAGGAGCTTTAAATGTCCTTCAAGGAGCTCAGAGAGCTACTCCTGAAGAGTGCTTAAAGAAATGACATGAAAGCAGCCTCAGAGTTCAATCTATGGTGAAGTGTAAAGGTGGTCATCCCAAATATTGACTTTCAGGCCCCTTAGAATTGTACAGAATTGTACTGTTTTTGCCTTATATACTGTATTTCCAGTTGTAAATATGTTTGCACCCATGAGGGGCGGCTTGAGACTTTTGCACAGAAATTACATAATGACTTACAATCATTAAAGTGTATATAACTTCTTTACAAGAAAATTCAAATGATGATGGAGGTTAGCAATGTCCAGATGTCAGATTTGAACTTCACAATAACAATACTGTACTGTTGAAGAAAGATGAAATGATAACCTTACTCAAAATGTATTTTTATGTGTGGTTTATGATTAATTCCCCAAAATAGAATATTTATAAAAACATGCTTTGCATAGAAAAATTCACCATGTCACAATTGCTGTCGTGATTGCCATCATTACTGTGTTTAAAAAAATAATCAACGATATTATTGAAATGTTTAGGGAAAATTTAAAAAAACGAACCATCTCTGTAGCTTTGTTTGTGGTTTTTGTTTTAAAAAATCAGATAATAAAAAATATTTTAAAGGTGTTTTACACTGATTATCAAGGGTAGCGGTGTCACCTTTTTACTGACAAGTTTCCTGAGACGGCTTGAGGAATGTTGACATATGTTATTTCACTGTCTTTGTAGGGGGGATTACACTCTGCCTGGGCCCCCCAGTTAGAGCTCAGCCCGAAGCAGTTTGAGGTTTGGCCGACTGGGTCACAATAATTGAAAATGCATGTTTGGATGTAACCATGCACGCAAACTTTGAGTGAATCTTCAGTCTCCCATTGGCCGTCCAGTTTGTGGCTCTGGGCACAACAGATTATGTCTACAGCGGTGGAAAGACAATAAATTTAGTGAGTACGCTGGAGAGGTTTACTTAATCAGCCCACTGGACACAGGCAAGAGGTAAGGATGAGGTGGTTTGGTGACGTACAGAAGAGGGTTGGTGGATGTTGACATAGGGTGCTGAAGAGAGGACTTTTATTGTGAAAGTACCTCTTCCTTTGCTGGGACCGGAAGTAACTTCTCGTTCTCATTCGCCGGAAGTGCACCGGAGTTAGTCGCAGTTCTAAATGAAAATGCCACCTTTGTAGTGTTCGGATGACACCGGGACATTAACGGTGAATTTAATCATATCTGAAATGCCTACTGGTGCTCACATCCGCCTTCCCCGTCGCTTTAATGTGGTGAGCGCGGATGAAGTCGCCAAGTTGTGCTACGAGCGTTTCAGTCAGCTTCCCCGCAGAGGGAAGCCTGAGCCGGGCAGAGAGTGGACCCTGCTGGCCGCTGTGCTCCAGATCACCCGCGGAGCTGACTCTCATTCAGGTTGTTCGGCAGGATGGACCAGTCCACTGTTCTGAAACCCCGGTTTCATTCATTTTTTCCCCATTTCTATCAAACGTCACTGCTAAAAGACATTTAAAGTTTTCTGAAGATGGGGAAAAAGGCTTTAAATTGTTCTAAATTATGTCCATAATGTATATTTCAGCGGACCTGTAGACACTGATATGAGTGAGGTATAGTGATGCGATATTTTTCTTTTTCCATCACAGTTGCTATGGAGGTTGTTTCTCTGGGAACTGGGACCAAATGTATTGGACAGACCGCCATGAGTCCCACAGGTGTGTGCAGATGGACGTTTTGTGTCTCAGATGCTGAAGGTGTCGATTGTGCAAACCAAATTTTGCTTTCCTTTTTAATTCAGGTGATGTACTTAACGACAGCCACGCAGAGGTCATTGCCAGGAGGGGATGTATCAGGTGTGTGTATGAACCCACCTGTGTCACTGCAGGCTGTTTGACTGTGCTGATTGCTTTATGTATATGTATGCGTTTTTATTTGCAGGTACCTGATCCAGGAGCTGCACGGGGCTGTGAGCGGTCGGGGCAGCTCTGTGTTTTGTGCAGCAGATGAGCGAGGAAAGTGGAAGCTTCGGCCCAGAGTTTCCTTCCTCCTTTTTACCAGCCACACTCCCTGTGAGTGTCAGCACACAGGACAGCGACAATAACGAATACAGTTACACACAGCAGAAAGTAGATGGAAAGAAATCAAACCAGATCTGTGTTGCTCACACAGAGAGTGGCTAGGTTATCAGCTGTAGTTACTGTGAGTTAATGTGAGGTAGTTTGGTAACTTACCCAGTTTAGATTTATTCTGTTTTTTGATTACATAACCCATTCTAGCAGAGTGTAATGAAGGTCTTTATAAATGATAACATGTAATAACTCCTGTTTGTGCCAGAGATGCAAACAAATAGCCTGAAAAGTCTTTCAGCTCTTGAGCTTTGATGCAGAGTTGATATGGCAACAGTTAAATATTCACCACTGATAACATTTAACATCCGCTTATTAAGCAGTAAACCTAAATATTAGTCAGCAGCGGCATTGTTAGCCCATAAATAATAAAGATGCATTTCTGATAAGGATTGTTAATGTTTAACTCTCCAACCTCTTTATGGTAAAATTAGTTCCATGAGATGATGAATAATTGAGGACTTGACATGATTATTCTTGTTTGTGAAGGAAGTCAGTCCAGCCTTTTCATGCAGAGAACAGGGATCATTTGTGATAAAGCACATTGCGCTATAACTGAGACCGGCACAGTTCTGTGGGAACAAAGAGAGAAAGTAATTCTCAAATCATCGTTGCTCACCTGCTCAATCATGTCTGATTTACACGAAACTTTTATGGTCCAAAGTTTGGACACCTGTAATGATTGCTGTGAAATTTCAGCTTTATATATCAAAAACTTCACAATATATATATAGTTTTTAAACAGCAGCACTATATACATATAAACAGTATTAACAGAAAAAAAGTACAATCTGGTGTAAGAAGAAAAAAGTAAAAATGTATTGCACAATGGTTTATAGAGGAAAATGGGAAAAACGTTGCGGCGAAACGTTGAGAAAGCACCGAGTTTTTTAAATGGACTGACAATGAGGTGAAGTTGTTGCTGCGAGTAACGCAAAAGTACAAAGTTGCAAAAGCGAGTGAGAATTAAAGAATTTGAAGAAAAGCTCTCTGGAGCATGTACGGACTGATATTAAGCTTTAATAGGGCTGTCAAAAGTTTTCGCTGTCCACACTGCGACACATAAAGCACCGTTTTCAAATTACGCGTTTTCGAGAGCGTTTTCAAAACGCTGCATTTTCCATGAGCGAGAACGCCGTCTCAGTGTGGACGGGAGGCCAAAACGGAGAGAAATGATGCGTTTTCAAACTAAAACGCATTAGTGTGGACGTAGCCTTACATTGTAGTATTTGTTATTAGCTGTGAGGCATTTGCAGGCGTTTTCTTTTTTGTTGTCTTTCAGACATATGCATTCTACCTTTAACCATACCTTTATCTATCTTGGCTTTAATCATGCAGAAGTGTGCCCTCATGCCATTTGTTTGTCCGATCTGAAACCAGGTGGCGACGCCTCCATCACCCATGACTGACAGCCAGCCTCAGCCCTGCCCTCCTGTCACATCAGTAAAGGGCCATGAACAGACTGATGGAGGAGGAGACCTGAAAAGGAAGCAGAGGATCCGGCGAGGAGCGAATCTCTAAGCAGCCTCATCTGGAGGAGACGGCAGAGACAAAGGAAGGGACAGAGAACACAGAACAGCGTGGATCGCTGAACTTTACAAAAACATCGGAACATCCTCACAACCAGCAGCTCTGCAGTCTTGGCTCAAACTGATGGCACTGGCCTGCATCATCAGGTCTCAGACATTCACAGAACAGGGGCCAAGTGTGTACCGGGTGGCCCAGCTGACCCTCTGCAGCCTGGGTGGGGTATCACAGTCCGGGCGTTCTCCGGTAAAGCCCGGCAGAGGAGAGCCAACTCTCTCCCTCTCCTGCAGCGACAAGATGGCCCGCTGGGGGTGCTGGTTCCAGGGTGCATGCTTTCCCATTACCTACAGGAGGCGCTGTACTTCAGCACCATGGTGTGGGAAAAGTGTCCATATGACCAAGAAGTCATGCAGAGAGCTTTGGTCACAAGGTAATGCTGAACCGGCTGCTTTATATTTTATTAGTCATGCGCTGTGAAAACTTCACCTAAACAGATACAGAGCCAGTAATCAACAACTCTGATAATAATAAACACAATAGGATATTGAAGTTTATGTAACGTTCCAGTCATGACAGCATGTCAAGGACCCTCCTTGATGTAAACAACGTTAGGTTCAATTAGAGTAAGCTAAATGCAGAGATATTAATGAAAGTGAATGAGTGCAATGACTTCACAGTTCAGTTTGGTTTCTGCCAGAAAAACGACCTGTTTGCAAACAGTTGCTTTCAATGAACGAAGACACGTCCTCTCCACCAACTCCTGAGAGAAAAAAC